AACCTACCCCTAGTGCAAAACAGCATGACGCCAGTCCGTTCGATCGCGAGCTTGTACAATGGTCTATACTAGTAAAAGTTCAATCATGTTTTTTAGAAACAATTCCGAAGCTACATCATATACAAAAAGTAATAACTTACATTTTTGCGAGCAAAACAACAGCTATAGCTGGGAGCGGCAATACTACGACAAAAGAAAAATGTGCTGTTTAGTAACGTATATATAAAGTATAATAGCCACCCTCATTTCTGAAACGTGTATCGAATGTCAAGTACTCGTGGGAGCAAAGCAAGAGAGATGCCAGACAGAGTCGACAGTAACGATACAAAAACAAAGAATTTGGACCTAGCATGGTTCGATTGCTGCTAGGAAAATGAAAAGTAAAGCAGCACATCAAATGGAGGGCAGAGACCAAGTCGTTGTAAGAGATGCGTCTCAATCGAGGGGCGGCCAAGGTTGTTGTGCGAGATGCGCAATATTCGGGTGTTGTTCGAGTGTTGTTTAAAAGGTTGCGAGACGCGGCAAAGCTCGATTAAGAAGGAGCGTGTGTAAGACAGTAACGAAGCAAGTCGAGTGTTGTAATGGCAGTGAGCAGCAAGTAAAAGAAAAAGAAGTGGAGGAGCGAAAGAGATGTAGAAGCCATCGTTTCGTAAGAAAAAATTTCTCTGGGGAGAGCAGTACCTTTGGAAAAAAGGGGGCTTTGCCAAATACGGTGCTTATCGGTCACAGATGCTATCCCCTTTTCCACCTTGCCTTGTCGTTTTTCCATGTTCCTCCTACCCTCTCCTTGTCATCGCTAGTTTTTCATCTGAGCTTGTCATCAACGCTTCTTTGCTAGTTAGTCCCTTTTTAGATAATTTTGGTCATCGCTCTGGTCACTGTGCACCCTTTTGGGAATTTTTGGTCATCGCCCCTGGTCATCGCTGGTCATCGCCCTTCCTTTTTTTGTCTCCGCTGGTCATCGCCTCTGGTCATCGTGTACTGTTCTGGAAATTTTTGGTCATTGCTCTTATCATCGCCTCTCCTATTTTTCCGCACTGGTCATCGCCCCTGGTCATCGTGTATTCTATTGAAATTTCTGATGGTCGCTGGTCACCTTTTGGTCGTGACATAGGCTTACCGCTGCTAAAATGTCCGTACGTTACAGACTATTTGACCAATTGAATGTCAAAGATAGACCGGGAGCACTATTTATCCAGCTGTCATCTATTGTAGCCGTTCAATGGCCAGCAGATTCCGCGGTCAAGCCAGATTCATCCATCGCTACTTGAATACAAACTTCAAGGACATCGTCATTATTGAGTCCTCAAAGGCACATTATGGCAGTAAAGCTTTATAGACCGTGAGTATACTACCAGCAAATTCCACTGATTGAATATTCATATATGAGCATGCATCAGAACCGCAGATGCCACATTCATTAACGACTTTTTAATCTTATAGCATATGGAGCTGCTTTTATTTTAAAACGACAACAGAATCTCATTTCATAAAGTAGCAGTTTATTACAGTAGCATGCCAATACTATACACTTAAAAAATGCTATTGCTTCCTTACCTCAAGATAACCGCCACTTCCACACCGCTATCGAAGAAAGAAACCAGCTTTGCTATCTTTATATCCGCGGTATCCTTCACTTCCTCACCTGTGTAATAGAAGATACCACCATGCCTGGATCCTTTTAATGATACTCATTTGCTTGAAGTTACTCTTGATCTACAAACACCATACTACCATCGTCGCGTTCGTCCGCGCGTCCTTATGTTTCTATGATACGCAGGTCGTTATGTAGATTACTTGATGGCGAGATATCGTCGTGCAGAACGCTGTCTTTTAACTGATTTTGCTGTATATAGATGATCCAATGTATAATAATGCACGTGTACCGTTGCTGCTGGTGCTCGTAAACCATGTACTTGACAGGGATCCGTTTCAATCGAGGGGCATTCAATGACGTTGAAAGAAAAAGTAATTTTTCGAGTGTTGCTCGAGTGGTGTTCAAAAGGTTGCAAGATTCGGAAAAGCTGGAATCTGATGGAGCGTGTACGAGATGGCATTGAAGCAGTTCGAGTGTTGGAATCGTGGCCAGTAGTAAGCTAGTAATTAAAAAAACAAGCAGAGGAGAAGGAAATGAAATAGCGGAAGAGATGCAGAAGTGTCCTTTTGTAATTAAAATTTCTTTGTGGAGTGCTAAACACGGCACTCACGACCATGGATGCTAACTCCTTTTCATATTTCCTTACGTTCCTCCTGCCCTTCCTTTGCCATTGTTCGTTTTTTGTCTGAGTTTCTCATCAACACTTCTTTTACAACAAAATCTTGGTCACCGTCATTTCACTTTCCTCTGCTAAATCGTGTCCGATATACGTTAATTATCTCTCAAATACACGTACAAATACATACAGCATCCAAGAAGTATATATAATACCCAACAAATAAAGCAATCCAAAATAAGCGGTGGTGGAGAAGAAGAAGAAGAGAGTCCCATATACATCCAAGCTCATCAATTGGAAACTCTAAACCCGAAACCTTAGTAAACCCGGACCAGGACTTGCGCGTTCGACTAAACCTGCTCGCTCACTGGCGTTCGCTGCCAGGCCCCTAAACCCGTTGCGCTTACACGCCCTTCTTTCCAACTTATTGAGTGCCTTAATGCCCCACGATGTCCTATGTTCATCAGTAACGTAGCTGCTTGAATCCATGACAATGCAGTAAGATGTGTTGGATCGCTTGAACATAAGCGTTGCATTTGTGTCTGTATAAGCAAGAAGCCTGTATAAAAATGCCGCTGTTCCTGATTTTTTTTCACAAGCATCTGAACTCCACAACTACAAGCTCCAACGACGACGTATTCGATACAACTTGTTGCTGATGTTCTCTTTTCAATGATTTCACTCTCAACTGGGGAAATGCAGTGTCTCTTACTCAGGAAATACACAGACCGGTCATTTTTATTCTATAGTATCTCCTTCATCATTATAGCAACAGCGGATATTTCACTCATCAGCTTCCACTAAGTGAAGTTTCATATACTAATATGCAACAGAACCGCAGATACCACATTTACTAATGTATTTTCAAGCTTGAAGCATATGGAGCTGTTTTTGCATATCAAACGACAACAGAATCTTACTTCATGAAATACCAGTTTATTAAAGCATGCTAATACTATATAGTCAATAATGCTATTGTTTCCTTACCTGAAGATAACCACCACTTCCACACCGCAATAAAAAAAAGGAACCAGCTTTGCTATCTTTATATCCTTGGTATCCTTCTCTTCCTCACCTGTGTAATAATTAGATACCGCCATACCTGGATCCTTTTACTAGTACTCATTTGCTTGAAGCCGCTCTTGCTCTAAAAATAATCTGCACACTCCTTTCACCTCTGTCGCTCGTTGACATGACGTGCTAGAAACACCAAACTGCCATCGTCGCCTTTGTCCGCACGTCCTTATCCAACCACTGTAAACCAATAGTTAATATATTATTCGATGGTGAGATATCGTCGTGTGTGAATAGCAACTTTTTAGCTGAATTTGGCGTATATAGATGATACACTATATAATATCCGTGTACCATTGCTGCTCGTGCTCGTGGATAAGAGTTTCTAGAGACACCGGACCTATATCGTCGCGTTTGTCAGCCCGTCCTTTATTTTTTTTCTGTCACAGTAAACGGAACGTTAATTGGAGTACTCAATGGTGATATATAGCCGTGTGCGAATAGCTGCTTTTTTTTGCCAGTTTGCCTAATAAAAAAGAATAGACACTTACGGTCAAAAGAAGAAAACTGGCCTTAACTTTGCGGACTGCTGCAAGTTTTACTGTGCTTATGTTGTTGTCATCTCGAGATGCTGGCAGGTCATTCAACTGGCAATTTCATTCTTCCAATTAGTTGTAACGGCAGAGATGTTGCGTCCGTTTGTTGTAAAGTTTGTTGCTAGAGTGCTGCTGTTGCTGCTGCTGTATGTTGCTGCTCTCCTCAATCAATAATGCTGCGGCAGTTGTTACTACAAAGGAAAACAGAATAAAAAAGTGGTCGAGTCCATCCACAGTAGGAACAAAGAATCCACTGAGACAAAGACTATGTGCTCTTTAGTATCATATACGTAAAATACAATAGCCATTCCAGTGCTGAATTTTGTAGAAAATGTTCAAGTACCTGATGAGGGCCAAGCAAAGAAGAAAACGACGCCGGACAGAGTTGACGTTATCAACACAGAAATAAAGAGCTTGATCCTGGGATCATAACATCATAGCAAAATGAAGGACAGAGACCAGGCCATTGTCAGAGATGCAATTCATTTGAGGGCCGTTCAAAGGTGTTGAAAAAAAAGTGCGAGATGCGTAATATTCGAGTGTTGAGAATAAAGAAAGCGTATAGAACAAGTGTTGCTCGAGTGATGACTGAAAGGAACATGAGATGCGGCAGAGCTGAATTCAATGGAGCGTGTGTGCGTTGGCAATTGAGCAGGTCGAGTGTTGCAATGGCGGCAAGCAGTACATAATAAAAAAAACAAGTAGAGGAAAAAGAAGTGAAGGAGCGAAAGAGATACAGAAGCTGCCTTTCGTAAAAAATTTTTTTGTGGAGCGGGCTTTGCCAAACACGGCGCTCATGACCGAAGATGCTATTCCCTTTTCGCCTTGCCGTGTCGTTTTCCTATGTTCCTTCTGCCTCCCGCTTGCTATCGTTTTTTTTCCATCTGAGCTTGTCATCAATACTTCTTTGCTAATCCCTTTTTAGAAATTTTTGGTCATCGCTGGTCATCGCCTCTGGTCATCGTACACGCTTTTGGAAATTTTTGGTCATCGCCTCTGGTCATCGCCTCCCCCTTTCTGTCACCGCTGGTCATCGCCCCTGGTCATCGCCTTCCCTTTTTTACTCCGCTGGTTATCGCCCCTGGTCATCGCCTCCCCTTTTTATTTCTCCGCTGGTCATCGCCTCTGGTCATCGCCTCTCCCTTTCGGTCACTACTGGTCATCGCCTTCCCCCCATTCTTGCAAATGCTCCCCCCACCACTGTTCCTTTTGGGAAAAATCTGGTCATTGACCAAATAAAGTTTTGGTCATTGTTTGGTCACTGTCATTTCACTTTTCCCTGCTTAAACGTGTCCGACATAGGTTTATACACATCGCCGAGTTCTCCTACTCTTGGGACCCGACGATTTCGCCACCCAAGGATTTTATCCTCGAAACCTCGTCGCATGAAGAACCTTTTCAGGGCTTGTTGTAAGGGATGGTAGGTATATTCTTTAATAGGAGAGCGACGGTTGTTGGTGGTTGTTTTAAACAGAGGTGTGTTGCAAGAATCTCTGTCGATTATGCTGCTTGGCTTGGTGCATCGCTCGTGCAACATTGGTGACGGCAGATATATGGCGTGGCATTTGCTGCAGGCGACATATTTTTATAGATCCTGTGTCAACCGGTTAAAGCCAATAGCTTGTCGTATCCCAGCGATTGTAGACGGAATAATGGTGTTTTCGGGGAGGACATGAAGGCCGGCAAACAAGGTTATGATGAATGTGATCAGCATGGATGCGACACGCTCGGATAGATAGTGGAGTTGGAATAAACAAATGAAGATGAAGACGAATATCAATGTTGTGGGATGGAATCGAGCAGGTTTGTTGCGGCTAATAGTGTTGGCGGTTCATCTATTGCATAGCAGTTATTAACTCTGATTTCTTTTCCACATTATTTCTAGTAGCACCATTACTACCACTAACCTACTGTATCATCTTCGACTATATTATCGAATTCGACGTCGTCAGCCTGGTACATCAATTCATCGTCATCTCTTTCTTGATCCGTTACTGGTTAGTCACCTCCAAATGATTCATATGGTAAGGTTACACCAGAATTCGCTGCAGTTACTACTAGATTCTAACAAGGAACACATAATCAGTTCAATAAAGCGAAACATAGTGCAACATCGCAACTCACAACTAGTACCATCAACACAATTACCATTATCAACTACGTCGGCGTTATGATCAGGCAGTTATAGATCATCGACTTCCATCTGCATATCGCCCCCATCCACCATCGGCAGAGTTTGATCTATATATGGCGAATCAGTATAATGCAACATTCGATACGAGCATAAAAACTAGTCTGTGAAAGCTCTGCTACCGTACCGTTGATTTCCTGCTGTAAATTATACTGTTCGTCAGCCCTGACATGATCAGTATACGCTCTCAGAGTGACTCGACGGTATCCCTCCGGATGTGCCTAATAATTTCGACAAAAGCATAACATGAACTCGCCGTTTTGCTGTTGGCTGTTCAAGTTGGACATCATCAAGGAAACAAGGGTACGTGAAGAATATCAGTGGTGTTTTAATAAGTCTGTTGCTTTCTTCGCTCTCTTTTATATCTTTTTCTAAGAATCAATTATTTATCTATATTATAGCACTCATCGTTAAGGGTGCAGACGTATCAGGCTACTTCATTATTATTTTAATTTGTACATTGGTGATACGCGCATGTTTTCGACCACGTTATTGATTGTTCCTTAGGAAATATCTTGGCGCCACGAGCACATGATGACAGCGGTATCAACATCACTACTGATTTTTTTAAATTATATTAATATAAGCTTCTTGGTAGTATGCGCACGTTGCTAACCACCAATTTATTGATCCTTTCTCAAGAAGGATCTGGGCAACATACACACATGATAATAACAAACATTTTTTTTTCTTTAGGTATGAACGTTATTGATCACTTTAATCATTGATAATTTAGTCACTTTGACAGCAAAAGCACATGTTGTAAGCAAACAAAAGATCGTGGCAGCATAAATACCAAACAACGTCCTTCTCTGCGTCGCGTGCTGTTTATATCTAGCTATCCGGTATCACCGCGCGAAAAGTCCAATATCAAGGGCTTTTAAAAGACCTTGATATTTATATATAAAGAGGCAAGGCGGGCCTCCACAGAAGTTGGGGGTTTTTAGAGATTGGATGCGGTCGTTATGCATGAAGTATTCTGTTTGTGTATGTAAATCTACTATATTGGTACAAAAAGTTCTCAGTATATGCAATAGCTGCAAGAACAGAACTTCATGTTAGTTACTCAACTACTACATCGGATGAAGCACTCCGAGTGTATGCTTTGGCTACAAAGAGAAGTCTTTTATGAGTTTTCTTTCACATACCCAGTATGCACCATTCGATGTATCTAAAAAATGACAGGTCTCGCACTACCACTGTTCTGCATCATCTTCATAATCCCCCTACAAACC